CAGTGGAATTGATGTATCGACTGTCATGATTCAAAGAAAATCGAAAGTAAACTTGTAGCATTGGTCTGATATAATTTGTCTGATGGCTGTCATCAAACTTTCGTTGGACCCTCATAAATATTCCTTGCGGCGATACTTATTTTTTTTTTACTTGTTACACGTTTCATGTAACTTTCTGGCCTCTGGTAATATAAAGTCTTCATTTTATTGTCACTATGTTAAGGAATGTGAATACTCAGAAAGTATAATCTGCAGTCAAACAAAAGGAAGAGAAAAAAATATAAAGGAAAAAGAATATAAACGATTAATCACGTCTAATAATTTGTCTAACGATTACGAGTTCTCTATTTAATAGCTGATAACAGACATGATAGGTGCACTGTTAAAAAACGATAGTAGAAATGATAGAGAACAGATGATAAGGAGGATAAACATGAAGAAACTCTAGCGAACGAACTCGTTAGGGGAACGTGTAATAGCAGTTCGAAGATCGGTACGTGCTATGTATTTCATGTCCGACATGCAAATCGATTCTTTCAACACTTTTTCTCGGACGCACGTAAGGATCCGGGGCGAGGCAAGTCCCCTTGGGTAACCACGGCGAACTGGTTTTAAACATAATATTTGGTCTGGCGTTCTCGCGGTCTGGAGATATTTATTACGTGAACACGACGAAATTATCGGCGACAAACGCGTCGGTTTCCTTCGGGTACACCAAGGCTACCTATCGGGGTGATGCCACGCGATGTTAATCGCGGTGAAAACGAGCCAGTACCTTAATGTACCGTCCAGAATTCTTGAACGAGGACATATATACTGCAGTGTTGGAAAACAAACGCATTACCACCTTTTTTAAATATGTAAGTCGAGTATACGTGTATAATACTTAACGCTTCTTCCCGATAAGTCGAAGAGCGCCGTCATGTAGATTATAGATCATGTGTACTCAAACTTCCGGATTTTATTATAGTCAAAAGATATACGTAAAGAAATAACGTTGTATTTTTTTTGGACTTAATTGTTGCGGACTAGTTGTAGATGAAAAAAAAAACATGACTGGTATTTCTATGACGCCAAATTCGCGTATCAGATCCAAACCCCTTTCGTATGTACAAGTAGAATATAATATTCATTGTACATATGTATATACATGTATGAAACGAGGTCGTTCGATTATATTCAACGACTGCTTGAACTTGATCCATTAGGATTGTGCAACGTGTCGTAGGTGCGTATGCTACTCGTTTTACCGTAGCTCATAAGTCAGTTTAAAAAGCGTGTGACGTAAATGGACCATTCGCAATATCCTCGCCAGGTTTGATACTCATTTTCGACGTTCGAACTTTCACGTCGTCCCTGCTTTCTTCTGTATTCTTTTCCTTTTTTTCTCATTGCAATCTAACATGACCCAATGAATTAGCTGATTGACAAATCTGTGGCTTGCCTAAAATTTTCGGTCATGGGAAGGACAATTAATTTTCTAAGAGAGGAGACAATTGGAATATATGAGATCTATATCAACTTCGAATGAATAATTAGATTGTTGTCAGAGGTGGACATGCGTAACGAACTACGGATATTATCTGGAGAAGGTGAATTGGTTAATTTAACGAGAGCAGATAGCTGTGGAAAATAACTTGGCTCTGTTCGGGAATCGAAACGTGATAATAAGATCTGATAATAAATAGCCTTGTCCCCATATTGCCTATTTACATATATTGTGATCGAGTTTGATTCATGGAGTATTAACATGGTAAAAATAAACCTTAACGGAGCAGAAGGAGTAACATTAAAATAGCTGCCATGTTCAGTGCTATTGATTGGCTGTGATAGAAATCGAAGATAATGCTTTTATTAGTCGAGATTATTAACCCTTCAATGACGCGCTGTCTTTTCGAACTACAAGTAAATAATAAATTAAGCTTGTCACAATGGCATGAATCTGCAGTTACTTGTTGGGGCTGTGGTGGAAAACTCAATGAATAGATGCAAATTCATTGACTAAAGCCGGAATAAGTAACAACAAGCGTGTGGCAACTGTTTTTAGCATAAACGATCGAGTAGAAAAAATCTTTCACGCGCAGATCTGTTCGTTTTCGCTCACGTAAAACCCTAATTATCATCAATTCGTATGAGACACGTAGTACAGATTTTTCACTCTAAAACTGGTCGGTCAGGTTCCATCGGGTTTTCTCTCCGATCGAACCGAGTTTAGGAGGTCAGTGTGTGATCCTCAAAGCTGAAACGAATGCGCGGTACGGCGTAGTGCAACCAGATCGTGTGTTCACGATGGCGTTTTCATAGATAGATACTTAGATAGATTCTCCAGTTAGGCGAGTGTGTGCCATTTCAGGTTTGGATCACGAACCGGCGAGAACGTCGACCTTAAAAACAGATACGAGAGGAACACCGCCACGGTGACTCACGGATTCGTTCGCGTGCCATGGGATACTAATTAATTTTCAGAAGAATTACCGAGGGGCTTTCGCGAGATAGCCTGGAGATAGCCCATCTCTAACCGCGCTTCCGCGTATCCTTTGTTTTCGCTTTATTTGCGATTTTGAATTAGTCGAGTCATCGCGGTCATCAGGGATGAACAATTCAGATTATTTAACCGAGTGTAAAGTTCCTTACAGTTAATCTGTGTACCTGGTACATACTGGCTCCTGCGGTTGGTCAAACACTTCTTAATAGCGTACGGTCTATCATGAACTATTAATTTGTAATTTGTAATTTAAGTGAAAATAATGATGGAAAAAGAACTTTAAATAATAACATATTTATGATTTATATATCTTATATCACTCGTACGATCGTACGATCTAATGCAACCATCAGAATATTTAGTATTACTATTACAAAAGATCAGTCTTCTAAAGTGAAAGTTAGAAATGCATGATCTTAATTTACCCGTTTCAAGTAAAATACGATTATGCGAGTAGCTCTGATGCAAGTTATGAAAAAAGCAATTTATTAATTAACGTGTTTCCCTGTTCCTTTCACTGATTGTACAATCGCAGAAACATCGCAACGCATCTTACACTTTGTATTTATATAGGTTTTTCTGCGAAGAGTATCAACTGCATCAAGTGATTCAACTTATCCTGCTTTCATACCTAGAAAAATAGGCTAGCAAAAAATGAGATAAAGAATCGGCTTTCGTCGATGAAAGCGTCTTCTTTCTTCCGTGTGTGCAGCATGTACAGAGAGCATGAAGAAAATGAAACACAAGGAGAAAACCGTTAAATAATTTTTCTATCCCTTGTACTATAATAAAACACGAATCTGGACATGTATCCAACACGCTTCTCGGTTTCAAGCGTGACTGTGAAAATCATCGATCTTCTCTAATTATACATTTAGCTTAAAACGCCAATCCAATGGAGTTGTGCATGGTAATCGTTATATCACGGTAATTAAGAACATCATTGACCGAAGCGTACGCGAAGGGAACAATTCGTGGCAGAAAATTCTCGGCAGATAATCGTTCGATTGATCGAACGATTAATAATTATTCGCTATGGACGTTGAATGATAGTAGAAATTGCGGTGAAAGCCGGACGAATTGACAATACATCATACGCGGAATATTATAGATCTTCCTATTTCCATATCACCGATATGTACATAGATAGATTTTTTTCGAAACCGTGGCCACACTTATTCAAGATAAACCTATGCGTCCGTCGGCAAATATTAGTTCACTGTTGCTCGGGCTTCTCCTAAAAACATTTTACAGAGATTTCTCAAACATTTTTATATATTCTCGGAAGATGAAGTGGCCGAATAAGTAGATGGATATTGGATCCACTTCGAATTCCACGCTGATTAAATATTATTTCTGCTAAATTATGGTTTTGGCACTTATGTTAACACCCTTTTTTATTTCTCGCAAAAAAGTCCATAAATAATATTTGAAAAAATCTACTTGTTATATATTTCGACAAGCATCTTGAGACTGTATACATAATTAAAACGGATGGATCTGTGTCTGTTGAATTAGATTCCTATTTATTTTCAAATCACTGGATTATATTTTTGAAGAAAATTCTTAAGCAGAATTTCTCGCCTTCTTACCAAGTCCCACATATTAATTAGCTTTTGTCCTCGTTCCGTCGTTAGTTTCGTGTTATTTAGAAATATTTCCACCGGAGTTTGGTCTTGAGAGTCCATAGAAGGAGTTTTCTAGCATCGGAACGGGATAGTTCGAGTAAGGTAGCTTGGAGTGGTCAACAAATCACAAATAAATATCTCTTGGATGTACTCTACCGGAATAGAACCGTTTAACGGAGCTTTCAGCAAACACCGGAGTGAACCTAGGCCCTTCTTTATGTTGAACTCGCCAATTTCTCGTATAGCCGCATTTACTTACTATCTTTCAAATGTATTGGTACTTACTACGTGGCTATTATTCTAAATTCTAAAGCTCCCGAGTGTCGAGAGAAAGAGAGAGGAAGAAATGAATAGCTCTTTTATTCATCTCTTCCTCTATCTCTCGAAACGATACGATCTCTCGACTGACCATTAGAGATTTGAGGCTGAAGAGGAAACAGCGTTCTAATCATTATACATACATACAGTACCGTCCATAAATACCCGATCAATTAATAAAGGGTGTTTAAATCGCCAATAGAATTCGAAACAGATCTTTTTTTGTCACACCTATTACAATTCATTGTCGCAATATTTTTTTAGCTACGAATCTGAATTTAGACGATTTAAAAAGATATTGATTTTTTATTAATATCTTTCGTTCAAAACTTATGAATGGTATTGTAGGTACGTTTTTGGATAAATCGCAAGAAACATGAAGATACCTGTGTTGGATGAGAACTAGTCGTAACCGTCTAGTCATTCTAATTATCGTCTTAATTGCGCTTGGGATTCATTAGATTTTTTAGACATCCCTCTTATCCAGAGGATCGCATTGTTGACCCTGACTAGAAAGTTTTCTCTGACGGTTGACGAAGATGGTCCGAGGAAGTAGAAACGGTACAAAATGAACAAGATTTGTAATATTTTAATTGTTTCAATTCACCGGTCAGTGTACATACTACATACATACATCTCCACCTTATCGACAAAATACTTAAGTATACATATGTTACAAGTAGAAAAACTCGGAAGCGCACGGAGATTTCATTTTAATTACAGACTAAAACACAGAAGTCACGGACTCTTCTCGTTAAGTTTATTCTACGGAATCTTAAACACACATTTTCTTGAACAAAATTCCTCACATACGACGACGAAAACAATCACTTAATTCACTTTATTTATTAGACGATTAATCTCGACCGATCTCATTCCTAAACACGTAAGCAACAAGAAATTCTTACGATGTTTTCAACAGATTCGGTATTAATTATGGCTGATTCGTTTGTAATGGGATGGATAACAGAAAAAGGGAATTAAACGAAAAAAGTTGAGGATTGACGTAACGATTTGCGGATTGAATCGATACGTCCTATAGTAAAACGACAATTTCCAGGAAAAGGCGGTTATTTGTACGTACTCTTATGGTAGCTCTCGGATTACCGACTGACAGAGCTACTTTCAAACGTATCCAATACTTTCTACGTTCGATTACATTTGCGGGCAACGGCAATTCGATCGATTTATCCGTCGTTACCTCCCCGCGCATTATCTCGAGACCAGCCCGGGCAAAAAAGCATCTCCGCGTGGACTGATCGTTTCTACAAACGTAAAAACCTGGACGGGCACGAGCTTTCTACGACCGTCAGCCCCGCGAATCGTTATCAGCTTGATTCATAACCGATGTGCGACACACGTTACATCACGCGTGCTTCGATTCTTCGATTTGTCGCGCAGATTGATTTCCACCGGACGGAAAAGCATCGTGTTATTTGTCAACCCGGACTCCGCAGGAACGTTTCATCGAGGAATGATCAACCTGTTAGCCTGTTATCATTACGTTCTGATTTTCTATGCTTCTCGAAATTACCACTAATATACTTAGCTCCTGGATTTATTACGCAGGAGATTATATATCAGTCCACAGATAGGTTTCGTCGAATACTTTATTAACACAGTTTACCGGTAATCTGATAGGTTGTACGACGTTATCGTTACATTTTCATCCCTCCTGAAAGCATGAATTCGTTTCTTCGATTTATTGTATCAGATACTTATCAGTCCAGTGACATGCATGCACAGATATTTCTTTGGGTATCCCATCGTCGCACAGCAAATCTGATAGATTGTACTACGTTCTCGTTACGTTCTGATTCTTCCTATGTTCATCCGGCGTTTCTTGAAACTGGTGTTAAGATATTCAATTCATCGATTTGTCGTGTAGATTTCCTCCGCAAGAGTAACATCATTTTTCAATCGTGCCCACTGTAAATTAATTTCATTGATCTCTTCATCATCATACGTAGTCAATCGGATACGTAGCACGACGTTAACGCTACGTTCCAGTTCCTTCTATCCTGATGTTCTTCGAGATCGGCGTCAGAATGGTCAGCTCCTGGTCAGAGTTCGGTGGAGTAAGCGTTTCCGTGGGCGTTCTCGATATCATCCTCGGTTGCGCGAGTTTGCTCGATTCCATTACGGTAACGTCTAACTGCGAACCCTTCATCTCCGCGGGGTTGTTAATGGTACACTTCTTAAAGTGTGTCCTCATGTTGCTGCTCTGCGAGAATCTCAACCCGCAATTAGGACAGGAATAAGGTTTGGTTCCGGTGTGGTAATTGAGATGAGTTTTGAGATGATGTTTCTTCGTAAACGCCTTCGAGCACAGTGTACATTGATAAGGCTTTAATCCGGAATGTAGCCTCGTGTGTAACGTCATGTTCGATCGATCAGCGAACGCCTTGTGGCAAACCTGGCACTGATAAGGTCGTTCACCGGAATGCGTCCGTAGGTGTTGCTTCAGTAGCATCTTCCTCGAGAACGCTTTCCCGCACTGTTCGCATTGGTGAGGCTTCACGCCCGTGTGGATCCTCACGTGCATGTTATACGCGACCCGTTGATTGAAACTCTTGCCGCATTCCGCGCAACCGTATTCCTTCCGATTTCGATGGATCTTCATGTGGGAGCTCAGGTAGCCGCGATCGTTGAAGTACTTGCCGCATTCCGGACAGGTGGCAGCGAATTCCCTGGTCCCTTCGTGGACGCTACGATGATACTTGTAATTTCGCAATTGAGAAAACTGCTTGCCGCAGTCCGCGCAACGGAACGGCTTCTCCCCGGAATGAGTTCTGATGTGCACCTAAATACGTAACGGAAGATAAGACGATCAATTTCCGTTGAACGTATTCTTATTTTAATTACGAACTCTGCCATGAAACTGCTTTCAAATCATCTCTCAGCTATTTGTGCCACCACCACAGGAATCATAGGATTACAGGAACATGACCACCATAATTTAAACCTAATACACCTTATTGAACGACTAATGATATTTTTAAAACCGTTGCGTGTATTTTGTTTGTTAAAAGCAGTGCTCGTCGAAGAAGAATGAACTTTGATGTTACTTCGTGATCAATCTATATACAATAATGTGCATAAATTAAAGCCGGAAAAAGTACCTAGCAGCCAATCAATCAGTACCTTTAACGAGGCTCTGGTAACGAAAGTCTTGCCACACTGATCGCACCTATGATTCTCCTGGGTTCCTCTGCCGCGTTGGACAGTGTCCTGGCTAACAACAGCGTCGTTGTTGTTGTTATCGCTATCGATAACAACGCCCTCGGCGAACTTGTCCTCGATCCTTGCGTCTGTCTCCGGCCTCTCGACTTCCACGTTCGCCAGACGATCGGTTTTATCGTCCGAATCGATCGTATCGCATAGTCTGCTAACGGGATGAGAGATTTCCGGCTTCTGTGGCGATTGGGAAAACGTATGCCCGAGGTAGCCACCCTTTCTGTTCATATTAGTTTGACCGCACTCCGTGTTACTCGATAAGCATCTTGTCGTGGTAGAGATTATGTTATTTTGAGACTGCAAGACCGTCTCACAGCTTCCGGCGTCGGTATGTGTCACTGGGGAGATTTGCGTTATCACCGACGATTGAATCTGAGGCGAGTAAAACTCCTGTGGCCTTGGTCCCATCACGGGATTTCCTTCCAATAATTTGCTGCCACTGTTGTACGCGATATCGTGAGTAGTAGGAACTTCGACGCCGTAATAATGATCGGCAGACGTGCAGATTTTGTCGAAATGTCGAGTAGGACTGGTCGGGATCGTAGAGGACCGTGCGGTTCCCGATGTGTGCAGATTGCCCACGGTTTCCTGCAACAAGACCATCGAAACTTCTTCCTCTAATCGCTACGATCTCACGTTATCACGACTGCATCATATATTTCATCCCTCCGCCTATCTCGATGAGTTCTAATGCTAATTATATCTGGACACGTATACTAATATGAACACAAATTAATGACTGTGATTCATCTCTCACTGTTTATTCGACCGTAAAATCCGAAGACTCCTTCTCGTTCTATCGCCCACTAACTGACAAGAAAAATACATCGGCAGCAATTAAAATTGATACGGCTCATAGACAAACTGGTTCGGTGTCAATTACCGATTTGCGAGTCACGAGACGTAATTTTGCATTACAGTTCTAATTGGAGATCACCGAAGGTACTCGTAATAAACTATTTTACAACACGGCACGTATTACGTGCGCGTGTCTATATTGAATTTTATAAGCGATCCGGTCAATATGTTTCCGCGATGATCTCGCTTGGAACGATAACACACGGGTGAACCGGTAATTCCAGTAAAATCGCGAATATCTGGTTATCTAAATGTAATATTTTCTTAAATTGAAAACGAGCGTCCAGTATTAGAATCGGTTTTTAAATTAGCAGAAGTGTTATGTACGATTTTGGATGCCGGGAAAGGAAACTTTTATTCGCTTATCGGTTTTCCCATCTGCGACGTGGAACCATGTTCATGTGCCGATGACACGCTCTTTTGAAAGAAAGGTGCCACCTCGATGCGATCGGGTAAGGGTAAAAAAAAAGAGAACGAAGAAGAAAGGAGAGGTTCTGCATTTAAGGTGTACGAAGCCGGGTTGCGCAAGGTCATAAAGCAATCTGAAAAAATCTGGAGCGTATCAGTGCACGTGTCGAAAGAGAAAACGCTCCATTCCAGATTGCGTGTAATAACACGTAAAGCCGATCCTCTCTCGCAGCTGGCCGATACCACCAGCTGGTCGTGGCACCTTCCGAGGCACTACGCTTCGAACAAGACGAGAACGCGACGCGGACAAAACGCGACGTAAGAGGGAAGGGGAAAAATGAAGAAGCAAGGGGAAAAACGGGTAACGGATTCGTGCGTGTAACTGATAGTTTCATTAATCAGAATGACATTGGGCGAGCGAAACAGAGGCACCTGGTCCCTCGCGTGGACATACGTCTTATCAGCTGGCACCATCGAATTACATACCGGTGGCCTGCTAAGAAGTGCACGCCGGGAGCAGCACTGATTTCCTCTCCATATTTCAGCCGAAGAAAGCAAAATGAACGGCTGGCATATCGAGGCGCGCCGCGGTTCAACCGCGTGCTTTCATTTGTGGTGAAAGGTCGATGAAGAATAAACTGGGGCCTGCTTCTTTCTTGCTTCCTTTAGAAATAACCAGAGTTCGGAGCTTGGACTATACGGCACGAGATGATTCGCCAATCAGTTACCACGTTATTAAAACTCTCTGTCTTCGTAAAATGAAATTACGATTTTATTTTCACTCTTGCGGCTATACGATAAATAATTTGCGTCAGGTCACTTTTACATGCAAAAGTTTCGTAAAATTATGAAAAATAAATTACGACTTCGATTGTGAATATATTCTGTCTGGTTTTAGAAACTAAATTTTCTAGTTATCAGCAATCTGGTTCTGCAATGCCAATTCAATCACAGTTTTTATTTGAAACTCTTTGCAAAGTGAATAGCTTGTGTACATACGTCATAGAAATAAGCAATCTCATACAGGCTTCTTTTTCTCTCTTCCACATTGAGATAACGAGATATCAATCTTTCCTCATCGTCTAGATGAAGAATCTATCGATTCATCGAATGAAGATGCGTGCCGGTAACACCCATATCGATCAAAAGTGGCTGCGACGATTGAATAGGCAGCAAGAAGACAGCATTGATATAATAGTTGTTCAGAAACGATTAACGGGAGCTCTGCTTCATTCGGACGGTCTTGGTCGATTCCTAAGAGCTCTAATGATGTCCGCCAATTCGAAACAATTTCTGCTCTACTTGCACCAACAACGCAACGCTCTTAACTTCCCGATTGACGTCGCAGATAACGATTTCAGTTATGGACGAGAAATAAAATCGGCAAAACTATCGACCGGATTAACCTTTTAGTCGAATCATTTGGATTAACTAATGTTTCGCATTTCTGATACGTTTTATTGCTCGAAACAATTCGCTAATCGCAAGTGGATATCAGGGCACAGATGACTTTTGAAGAATCATCGTGTGAAATTAGAAAAAAAATTGAATTCTGAAATATCAGATTCCGACCATTGAAATATCATTATCTATACAAAAAGAAATCAGCAGAATTGAAGACACGGATTTTCTTTCATCTTCGAATGTGACTACCTAAATTAAAGAAAGATCGTCGAGAGAAATGAGAAAAGAAGAGTAGGATTCAGCAGGACATCGGGAGACTGATAACTGAATATAGCCGATGCAACTAAAGTGCGCGAACAGTTTAGTCAGCCGAACGCGGACTTTCCATAAGTGTTTTATATCTGAAACGAGGACGATCGCGAGCAGTACAGACGGGTGAACGTTATGCAACTGCCCGAGCATGTTCGAGAGATCATCAAACAAGCGAGAAGGGGAGAGAGGAGGAAGAGCCAAGCAAAAGAGCGGAATGCTACAACGTGAACGATTTCGCAGCGAGGATTTACAAAACTTAGAAGGGCTGCAAGTAAAAATGTTAGGAAGGAAAGGCGAAAGATCGTTAAATAATCAACAGATTTTACGACGAAACGGTCAACCTAATTCACTTAATGGGCCAGCTGTAGCAACGGATCGCACGGTTCTACGATAATACCGGAAAATAATTGTGGAAAAGATAGAAAGAGAAGTGGCTTCGCGGTTTTCATGCGCGTTTCATCTTAATTAACAGTTTACATTAGCGGCTCATCTTGTCGACAGCCACGCGGTGATTAGAAAGAATAACGCAAATATTTTCACTTGTAAATCTTTTGCTACACGATTTTTCCGGACTTGATTACTGATACTTGCAACCTCGTAAACTGAAAAGTATTCCGCGCCTCATTAGGATTTTAGTTCTCAATGATTCAATCAAACCTTTTATATTTCCTGCGGTAGATTCAATGTTGCGTGTAAAATGAAGGGTGATGTTTTGCAACTGGAGTAGGTTTTTTAGTATTCGAGGCTAAATAGAATATTATTAAATTACACAAAAAGCTTTATAAGATCAGACAATAGAAAAAGCGTGAAGTTTTTCAAACATTTATTGCTTGTAGACTCTCTTAATGATACGAGTAGAACATGTTTGCACTGAATGAATCGAACAAAAATAGTAGAGTAGTTACACGTTGCACTGTCTGGGTAATAAAGCAGAAAATGAGAAGCGACTTCCTCGAGTCATAGCTTTCGTGTGATGAAGAATCGCAAATGATGAGAGTGCAGTCTCTCCTGCTTGATCAAAAGCCACAGTAAACAAGTCACTTTCTGTATGAGAGGATAGAGATTGCTACTGGGTGAGATTAGTAACTCGATCCTAGTGCTAGATCCGTGTACGTATATACGAAGTGATGTAACAATATGAAGGCACGGGTCGGGGAATCAGTAATTGTATCTGGCCAATAATCGGCCGAACAAATTCGCCAAGCCTTGTGCAATTGAAAATCCAGCATTTAAATGAAAGGAGCTTCTCGAGTTACTTATCCAGTCGAATTTTGCACGATACTTCCTTAACAATAGTTTCTTCGTTTCTTTCTGTACACGACAGCCACTGTTCTAATTTTCATGAAAGCGGTGAAAGGAAATATCCAAGGCAGTACCTTCTACTCTTCTCGTAGTAAAACCCGAACAATAAATCAAAAGAAACAATCAACTTAAGAATTGCTGTTATCCAGACGAGACGTTGAATGATTTAGAATAATACTGTGTGCACGAGTACGTCGGGAACCGTGTAAATCAATGACAAGTACGCGGCGCTAAAAATCAATTCTTTCATGTCACGATAACCTAAATATAAGTGTTTATATCTATTTATAGAGTAATGAGATTTTTTCTGCAATATGCACGTATGAACTTTCTCAAAATAAGCGAGTGTTTGGATGTTGTTGAACGATAGAATAAATTGAAGGTGATATTGGCGTATCAAGCTCGAGATAATGATTAAAAACGATGACGGAGAAGTTGATGATCCCAACAGATCGGTACGGAAATTGGCTTGATAACCAATCATCCTATTGAAAAATGCTCGACCGCCTGATCTGACTACCTGCGTATGCGACGAAACGGAAAACCGATACAGCAATTAAAGATCATATCGAACGTCTTTCTTTTACTTTCTGTCAAAGTTGGACAGCGATTCGTGAGACGATACCGATCGACAATCGCACTCGGCCTGGATTCATGTCGGAGCGGTGGTATGTATGCAAATGCAAACGCGTTCGTACTCGCGGGTACATATCGCGAGTTCCTGTTCATTTCTTCACCCCGCCGGTCGCATCCAGACCGTGCAATCGGATATTCAAAGAGCGATTAGTTTACAAGACAAATAATATTCCGAGGAGCACCGCGACGAGGCGTAATGGGCACCTTGAAACAGAAATCCTGCTACGTGTGTAGTATCAGTACCTTCCAGCGATAACCAGATGTTTCCAGAATACTTGCTTATTCAATCCGTAACAAGGTAACGGGTGCCGAAGTTCTTTAAAAGGATACTCTGGTCATGGAAAGACTGCATACGTTACTCAGGAATTTATTAGCAATCAGAAACTTGATTCACGATCCGCATTAATATTGCGTTTCCCTTTGAACGCAATCAATCGTGAAATCAATCGTGGGCGAGAGAACGAAAATATCGAATTGTCGAGTGAAAAGCACTTACAGTATTGTTGACGTGCGGCTGAGTCGTCATAGGCTGCAACTTGGGCGAATGGTACGGCCTGATGATCTGCCTCCACGGCGAAGCGATCACCCTATTAGCCACATGTCTTCTCGGCGGCTTCCAAGCGAAACAATTCTCGCGACACGTCAAATCTTCACCAAACTCCGATTTTTCGTAAGATCTAGCGCGTCCGGGTAAGTGCGAAGGCACGGTCTTGGTTTGACAAGAACCGATCCGTGATCGAATCACGGTGAGACGCTCTCCAGGTATTCTCTCCTGTTCAAAACAACCACCGCACGCGGACGCGTCTTTCCTCAGAACGTTCTCCTCGTTCGCGGTTCGCAAACGCACATGATCACTTCTCATTCTCGTTTCGAGCGGGTCCAATTGCCTGTCTAATCTGATATCGTAAGGGGTCCGTGGGAAACAGAATTCTTGTTGGCGAATCCTGGCTGAGAAGTCGCAGCTGGTATTAAGATTTTCCGCGTGTTCACTCGCCGTGCCGGTAATCCTATCAATCGTAGGCACTGCGGAGATTGGATGATACCTTCCTACGTCCGACTGACTCATCCTGTCCTTATCCGGACGCTGATCAGTACAGTGAACAGTCTTTTCTTGAGCGGTGTTCGCGAAAGGGGGAACGGGCCAGGTTGTAGAGCAATATCTGCCCGTCCTACATCTCGATTCATTAAAGTTCATTGATTCAGGAAGCGATCCGATTTCTGTCGCGGCTTCCAAGGACTCAATCGTCGGATAAGGTTCCTCCTTACTCGCGGAATCGCCATTTTGATCCGCCCGCGGACGGTACCAGTGATCGCAGCACGGATACTGATCGCACTGAAGGTACTTCGGGCTGATCTTCACGTCCTTGACGTCTTCTTGCTTGCAATCCGGCTTCGGGCAAGTCATCACGACCGGAACTGGCGGGAGTCTGATGTGCAGGGCTTCGGCGGCGTGCAGAAACGCGTTCAAACGCGGTCGCGGCACTGTCGCACTTCCTGTGTATACGAAACCGAGGATCGCGGCCAATTCCGGAGCCTCCACTTCAGCGAGGATCACTGTGATCGGCTCGCAGTGCGTCGAAGTTCTGCTGTGCGCGAGCAGCACTTCCTGAAAGAGAAAAGGTCGGTCGGGTTATTCAAAGAAGCCCGGCAGTATTTATGGGCGACACGAACAGACAAACGCGGAATTCTCTGGTGACCAACTTTTTAAGGTCGGTCACTCGTGACCAGCCACTCATTCAGTTGGAGAATCGAATTGAAATTCTGCATACGCGACAAGATCTTACCTATCCTTTTCTTCTTTCTCTCTACGGTCTGAGAAAAGGTCAGAGATCCTGGTCATTCTTTTCTAGTTCAATGAACCAATCGGATTCCGCGATTATCGCACACAATCAAATCAATACGAGGATAACGAAAACATTTTTGGGCAATCGTTTATATTATGGAAGCATTTTGCATCTATTATTGCTTCACGGGGGTGTAGCAGATTTCTAAAAAGTGGGAGGAAAGAAACGGTATTTTCTGCCCATTCTGAATTACTACTGAGATTCTCAAGAGTGATGAATTTTATTTCCGACACACATACATACATATCCACATTTAGAGTTCAAATCAAATCAGCCACTCAATGATAAAACAGCTCAGGTTGTAATACTGTATAGATAAATTCAAAGGTATTCAAATATTATGAGTTATGAAAAAACGTGTTAAAGTATTGTAAATTCTGGGTGGACAAATAATATTGAATAAGGTATAGCCAACAAATTGCATTTTGATAAATTACTCGCAACTTCATTCACTCAACATTTTTACACTTGTACAACGCATACCCTCGCTATTGTCGCTACTGGATGGACGATCATAAAATACCTAAACCACAGGTCGTTAATGTCCAAAGAAGGTAATATTTTTCACATTGACTGGCCGGTGTTCGCATTCACGGGTAGCGCCCAACAAATACCACATCTCGTAAAATGTTCACTTATCGCATGTTAGCTACATGTTAAATTTATGTCACATCCGTGTTATACTTAGTTTTATATGTTAGTATATAAAAGCACTTATGTGGTCACAAATATAATACGTAGTTTATTACTGAAACTTAATATTAATTCGCATTTATAAGATATAAATCACGTTTTCAAAAAACCGTTAAAATCGGGCGCCTACGTACGTTAAAACTAGTTTTTTTTTTTAGAGGGGAACGTTTTACAAGTATACGCTGCTTCATCTTGCCAAAACTAAACTCAACTGAAATCACTCACCGCTCGACAATTACTGATAGCGTTCGCGTTATCTGGAGGATCAGCAAATTAACGGGAATTTACACGTTAACGTTTACACACGGGAAGGATATTCATGATTCTCGTATTTCTTTCATCTTCTTAATTAGATTACCATTAGATACTACATTTACCATTGGTCGATTTATCTTGGCACTCAGTTTGTTCCTTAATGGGGAACAATTAACACCGAGGAAATCAACTTAGATTTTCCGACGTGTTCAACACATTTCTTCGCGCTGCTACCTGGAGATAAATGAACAGATATCAGCGAGTCTCTTCACACGTGCGGACCGGCGAACGCATAATTATTATACTAATTTTCTGTCGAGATAGAACCGCGAACGATACCGCGACGTAACTAATGGCTGTCATTAGAGAACCTAGTGAGCTTTTCTTCAACGTGTAACCTGCCGACGTTTTCAACGATGAAGGGACACGCACCCGGAGAACGACCAACGAACGTATTGATCTCATACCTCAAGGAATCTTGTAATCTTCAAACGGATGCAATTTCCAACCCACAGTATTTTTTTTTCTCGTGGTTCCTTTCTCTGATCAGTTCTCTTTTTCTATTCTAGCACCTGAGAATCTGAGAAGAAATATGTTTCAAGCGTAATGAACATATTCGTGTAATGTTTTCTGTACTTGTATTACGGAAAGTATGAGGACATTTTTAGTCTCCTTGAAATCAGGCTACCACTTCAAATTCTGTGCGAACCAGATGACGGTTTATTAATTAACGGTAATTATTAAAAAACGTCCGATATCAGTGGTGTCACAGCCGTGAATTTAACACGTAACATTGCTCCACTTAATATTGAATTAACCAGGTATGTCCAATCGTCGTTTTGCTCCTCCGCGATAGGGCAAAGAGGGACAGGAACTTAGAACGTGTAACGGACTTGTCACGTTTCCCCTTGCCGATGTCCATTTACTTTCTTTTAGCCACGGTCATGTGAGCCGGATATGTGGTTTAATTAGATGCGTGACCATAAAGCTTATCATCATGTTATCTAAACGATACTGATGTTTCATACATACTTAAAAGGTAATGCTACTACATGGGTCGTATTACATTCGCAAAAATGTAAAGATATTGTTTTATATGGATTTAATATTGCGAATTGGAAATCGTTTTCGGTTGAAGTAGAATTTCTCCAGAATCGATTTAAGACTCAAAAGTGTCTCATTGCTGGAAGCAGCTTTTTAAAGTAGTTCTACGTAGAAAGTATCTTAATGGGAAGGCAAGAATGATTGCAGGTGAATAGATCAAGGGAAGTGGTGATTTATCTCTAGGATATGATAGTCCAGATATCCGGTGCCAATGCGAACATCGTCTTCCGTATGTAATTTTACGGTTGCCGAGCCAACGTATCAAAGGATAACCAATCATTTACATAAAATCGAGATATCCAGGTGTTCTCTTAATAAAACAACATTTCGCCACGAATTCGCGGCACGTACTACGATTTATACCGTTAAAGGCGAAGCCAGATACAAAAAGCTTCACACGATCGCTGGTAATTGTGTAGAACGTTAAACCGCCTGATGACATGGTCACACAATTTTAATTTCAAATATTCGATCCGAAACGACCATAAACTCACGCGTCCTATCGTGTCATCGCTCCCCACGATCAAAATCTCTATTACCAATTCGCTTCCTACAGATTACCGCCAATAGTGTTATCCACTGAATCATCACATTTTAAGCCAACTCTCTCTCTCTCTCTCAACTAACAGAGTCGTTAACGCACACTTGACCAGCTAGATCTTACGTTTTTCGAGAGAGGAACAAATTTCGACGACAAAGGCTATACACGACAAGTGGTTTGTAGTATCCAAACATGATAAATGATAGGCAATGTAAATGGTAAATACTTTTTTGAATATCAAAATACTTCAAGTTCTCGGAGAAGTTGTTCACATCTTAGCGACATCTCTTCTCACGTATCCGATAAATATACGAGTTCGTTAAAATTAAATTAATTAGAATGTATTACATTGCATTTGCGGATCCAATAAATAGCGTATCCAGGTAACTTTTTCCTCATCCTTTCACGTTCCTTATAACCCACGCTCCAAGCGGTTGATGAGACCGTAAGTGACGAGCAGAAAAAAGTGAGCAACGGAGACTTCAACGCGGTATCCGATGACTTGAACGCGTGCATAAGAAACGAACAGGGCCGCATGCTCGTACTCGTGGGCTGTAGCGCACAGTTGCTAGAAGTAAGAAGTCGTATCTCGTCGCTCGGTGAGAGTTGTTGCATATCATTGAAAAATGAACAGTCTGCGTACCGATGTACACAGGACGTACCATTCTTTCTGAAGCAAAAACCCATCGCGTCCGCATGGCAGTTGTTTATGACAATCCTTCGTAGACGCGACGGCGCACACTATGTTGGCAATATAGTGAATCAACCGCCATAAAATAGCCGCGTGCAAGCATTTTAATGGTCTGTAAGCCACTATCGCGGGGATCAAGCACGGCGTTTAGCATGCATCAACTCTCATAACCGAGTGTATACCGCATCCTACGTGCTAGAAGCTCTCTACAGCAGTAAATACGTGTGCGTACTCTTTCCAAGAGACCGAAACGGTAAATGAAACCATTAGGGTGCGCTGTCCTGTGGGTATCGAGGCGAATTATCAAGATGCGTGCACGTCTATTAAACGTCATCGACGTTTTACCCGCGAGACGTGTTTCTATCCCGTAATTATCGATTGACTGGTGAAAAGGAATATCGTCAAATTAAATGTGTGAGAAATCTCCTTTAGTTACTCTAAGCTACATCTGATGGACCGTGTCTTCGGTAACTTCCACTTTCCTAAGAAAGCACTTAACATGCTTATCTCTTTCATTTACGAATTATTGAAATGATATTCAAATTGAGAAGCAATTCTGGCTCTTGTTAAAATGATATGACAATGTTTTCCTCGCCGCTTCAATTACAAAATAACTTGTCGAACATGCAGGTCCGTTGGGTTTCAATCCTGTCACGTATCCAATCCGTTGGTCAATTATATCAGACGTGGAACACGTTCCTTCGGGTTTTGGCGTTGTCTGTCCAGATATGGGTCTAATCAGGAAGCGTGACATTGAACGGTGCCCATAATCAGAAAAAACCGGGAACGGTGTAAAACGAAATGTTTAATTGTCTGAAGCTCGTCGTCGACGTAACAGAGAAGTCGTAACAGGGCAGGGCGTGTAATACGGCAATCTAGTAGAGTGATGACAAAAATGGCGATAAAGGAAAACGTTATTCCGTAAATAGTATTCATTATCGACTGGTTAAACATGAAATCCGAAATCAGACAGCGACATCCAGTGACATTTGTCGTCCGGGAATGCTCTCGTTCTTACGACGGGCAGAGAGAAAAAAAGGAGCAAAAGTGGAGAGAAGAGAACAGAAAATCGACCGAGTGGTACACACAACCATATGCCGGGAGCCTTTCACAGCGTGGATTTGCAAAGGTGTAATTTTTAAGGCAACCAAGTACCTCGGCAAGTTTACCTGCGAGCAATCGAACTGATTACTAGAAAATTGTAGTCCACAGGGAGAAACGTTACAAAGATGTGGAATACACGATAGGAATTGTGCAACGCGAGATAGAAAGATTTATACTCGACGAGACACATATGTACGTGTGAAAAGAAAAAAGAGATCTTTCTTCTGTTGTGCAAATCCCGATTTTTGTTTATTAAAAATAACGCTGTCCAGTGGTTTTATAATATGAATTTATATTACTCATAATAGTTACTCCACCCAATCATCCCGGACGGAATGATACAAACCGTAATCTACATTGATGTGTAAATAAGTTGTTTCTCGTGTGGTTAAGCAGCCAACCGAGTAGTTATCTATCGCACCGATATCGTTTCGATTATACCAATTGATCTTAGTAATACTTGCTAATACCTAGCTGTCGTTTGATTAATAAACGACACTATTGGGTAGAATCTCTGGTTGCACGTTTACTCGTGTTTAAGCATTGATTTATCAATTATAATTGATTTATATTATACCCGCTGGCGAAAACGCGTATTTAAAAAACACATGGAGACAGGCTGGCTGACTTTATAATTAATATTATGCGTGCCTTCTTGATAACACGAATGTCGTCAGCGTTACTTTCCTATTTCCTGGGATTCTGATTGATTAGAAATCCTCTAGCGAATCCTCTCCGCTTATCTCGAATAACATGTGTTCATTAACAGATTCTTCGCGTTTTGTTGACTCAATTAATAGCCTATTAATTTTCACAACTTGATAATTTCAGCAGCCATAAGTACATATTTTTTTACTTGCACGTTTCGTCCTCATTAATGAAGATTGAAATTCTTAAAAGGATTAAGGATGCGGTTACATTTATTACGGTTATTAAACAAAAGAAAAATTTATGAAGGACTCAATTCGAATTCACTTTCACTGTTCCTTCCCATATAGAACTATTCTATCTGTGCCACGTGCTTTATTACCATCCGCTATACATGATGATTAATGATCACCACGTGTTATTATTATGTTTAAATAGAAATTAACACATTTTATGATCAACTAACTTCAATTGAATACCCGTGTACATCGTAATTCGAATGCACAAGTATGGTGTTTGTGCCGTTCGACGCGTGGACAACAGGAAGTTGTATTTCCTTAGGTCGCATTAAGGATGATATTACGTGTACGACTTTCTGCTTTTTTTTTAGAAATGGTTTTACACATGAATACGGATGATTGATGTTCCTTATTACGAGTAAGCATTCGTTTCCTTATTTTTAGTCAGTGCAACTCGGTAACTGCTTCGTAGTCATGTGATAGTGCACGTATTGCATTGGCCAAAAAATCTCGTTTTTTATTTAGTACGTGACGTATTACGAGATATCTACGTAGCTATGACTAACAAGCAAATAATCTCACAAATGTTCTCGTATATAAATAAAATTTATGCGAAACTGTAGCGTCGCGTTATTCGCAAGGAAAACGTAAGGATAGCAAATTATCGTATTCAAGAACTGACCTGTAAATAAGGGCTGGCGGCTGAGAGAACCAAGCGATGCGCCAAGAATCTTTGTCCGCCGGGACAGCAGAGAGCCACATCGGCGAACCTCTGGGACAGCATCGCCTCCTTGAGGAACTCCCCTACGTCTGGTGCCCTCCCAGAAACACGGATCACTTCTCCCATCATGCTCCAATTTGATAATGATAAAACAGAAAGCTACTTCCGATACTCTACAATCACCATAAACCAGTCCAAAGAATCACCACGAGTTCCAACTTATTTTCATGATATAATGTTTCATCGACGGAACGTGTTTCGAATAAATAGGTTCATCAATCAAGACACGATTCCGTGTCATATATTCGTGTTGCACATGATGGAATGATCCGTGTCAATGTACGAATGACGTCTTTTGTATGCTAGTTGTAGTTTATTAAATAACCATCAATTATCCGGAGAATGGTACCAACAACAACGTCTCACGCAGCTGATTCTCTACAAAAAAGAAAACAATTCTAGTCAGGCATTTGAATCCGAATTATTTTCATTATTTAACATTCATAAGTAGTGTTCGCCTGTTATAATTTGTAACCCGCACAGAGTCTGTAAAAATCAGATGTCTATTTTCGAAAGATCCTGTGCTTAAAAGATTGTAACTAAAAAAATACGTCATCTGTTTGCTAGCCTTCATCCACATGCAAAAGAATAAGTCGTGACGCGATATAAAAGGATGGATAGCATCGTTTCGCATAATAATAGAAGTAGTTATTAATACAGAATAATACGCGAAGGAGATCGATTGGTTTAACGGTTTGTGCGGGTTGTGGCTGATGACGTTGTACTGTGAAATTACTCTATGACCAAGCAATTGATATCCCATAAGATAATACCCCGAGCGAGACGAGTAGAACGTCTCTGTCATACGCGTGGCTGAACAAATTTATCCGCGTCGCTTACGATTTTAATAAACCACTGGAATCAATTTACGCTTCCTTATCAATTTCAAATAAGAGTATACGTATTATAATGACACGAATGTCATAACATTAGAATAAGCACACATTTTCCATATTTTCTTCATTGTTTGAGTTACTAATTACGCGGATTGCAACCCCTAAATATTTTTGGAGCTTTCACAAAAATTTTTATTTTAATTGCAACTATTTTTATAAATGAATTAGATTTTATGAAGCGTGCTCGAAATTATCAGAATAGCGGCAATTTTTTGAATTTTTGAACTCTCGTGATCTCTGAAATCTTTGAATTCTCGACCAGCGATTCGCTTGCCTGCTGTCATTCGCGAAATCGTGCAGGAATAAACGAGCGCCCATATCGGGCGAACGGAATCGAGAACCGAAACGGTGCACGTGTCGGATTTATCAACGACTAGTGTACTAGGGTTCTCGTGCACTTGTCCGCTTGTCGTTGCCGAGTGATTTAGAAGTGCGGCCCGGTAGCCTTGATATGCGATTCTGCTTAATTATTATCACGATAACACTATTCGGACTCGTGAAAGCAGGCTAATGCTTTATTCGCGTTTCCCTTATCCACAGAATTGAAACAATGTGCTGGGCGAATTAGAATGCAAGATGAGTTATTATCTTTCCTAAAAAAAAAAGACGATAACTAACTGACCTAGAACGCTTGACCGATATTATGATTCGATTTATGCCGTAGTACGTAAATGATTCACTTAATTTTTAGTTGATCTTAAAATTGTATCATGATCTATTGAGATTGTCTTCATATTTTGCTGTGATTAATGATACATAAATGTTTTTGGATTATGAGCCTCACTGTTTTTAGACGCTTATGATGTACCAATTTGTTGCGAACATAATTTGTCAAATATGTAACTTTTTTAACTCCTGCATTTTTCATATTTAGTGACGTTTCTCTCACTTTGTTGGTGTTCTTTTTAACATAATTCATTGACATCTAAATATGCACAGCTCTTCCTCGGTATTTTCCTGCTTAGTTATTGCACCTCACTGTCTGTCCACTACACATTGGTTGAAAATTTACTTGCTTTACGGAACACTTTAATGAACTGTACCATAACTTCGCACTAGTTAACAGCAGAAACTCGAACAATTTGAAAGTTAACTAGATCAATTTTTGATTGAATACTTTGTATAATTCTATATTGTTCAACACGTCACTCTTCCTGGGTACGTTCACTTTCTTCCATGTTTTTCATATCGCATTTAACTTACGTATAAACGTAAAAACTTCGGCAATCGTGATCGGTTCCGGTCAGTTCTCAAAACGAAACATAACTAGCTAACTACGATTCCTATCATCCCTTTGCCATTCTCAGCAAATAATTATGACAGAAATGATTAACATTGATAATGTGATAGAGTATCTTTGTAAAATACACACGACCTATAGAAAGTAATGGCATTCTTTTTTATCAAACTCTTCGCCGGCATGGTTCAATGATTCTAAGCATTTAAGCACTTACTGCAGGAATTTATTATGGTCATAATGTAGTCTTGTCATTATCTTAATGATTATCATTATCTTAATGAAACGCGACTACCTTAATTGCGGCAAAGTTTGAAACGAATTCTGACAAACACACGCAATATATTTCTATAGGATTTTTTACAGTGCGTATTAAAATATTTCCTTGAGCCACTACGACGCTCGTTAGGAATGGAAAGAGGGAGAGAACAGCGAACGATTCCTGAATGAAAATCATTGACGATGGACGGAACTAACCGTGAAAAACGCGTTTGCCTCGGTCGACTCGGTATCGTGCACGTTAAAACGGGCGTTAAAATCCGGCATGGTAAAATCTTATTGCAGAAATGAGACGAGAACTCAACAGCGAGGACTCGCGAGTAGACTCTGTGGACAAGGCACAGAGTGCTTACAAGGTACCCGTCGCTGAACAACTCAGCAGGGCGACTGCCACCTGAAATCCTCAGGTGAGCAGAGACCACCTCTGCTCCTTGCAGTCTCTCAACAGAGAGAGAACTCGAAGGAACTCCTCCCATATCGGTGCTCTACTCCCTCCTTGAAGTTACGTTTCCCATCGCCGCCACTTACTACCACGCGGACATTCGAATTCACGATTTCTGTACCTTAGGACGAGAATAAGCAAATAAAATAACATTTTTTTCGACACCCGTTAGTCCACTGACAACCAAAGCTGAACATCTAAAAGCTTCGCAGGATATGATAATTTACACGAATACATTTGACACGAGACAAAATCGTTGTCCTCATCCATTAACGTAATTTGAATAAACTTGCAATTTTATCATTATTCAGTATCATTTTTAATTTCATCGCGTGATTATCGGTACAGAAACAAATTAATATTTATAATTTTACAATACTTTAAAAAACAATTTTTACTTTAAGGGGTTGAATCACTCCTCAAAGAACACGCAAAAGATACGTTTTATGGTTCAAAGGCTGTTAGTCAAGTTATCCTAAATATAACTTGTATACATAAATATATATATATATATTTAATTAATTTACATATTGTACAATGTTACAAAGGGCTAACAATTCTTACGGAAAGGAATAGCGTACCGCGCAATGGAAGATATATTTCCGCAAACATGATTACGAATCATGTACCACCGCCTTATTATACGCGGCTAACCCGTAACTTGAAAGATTACAAAGTTGAATAAATTATAGCGTCGCGAACAGACGGAGGATTTTTAACGGTAATTTTATCTACGTGCTCCTGCAAATGTAATTTCCTTTATGGATGTTTTGCCGTATAACAGAAAGTAGGAATCGGGCTGATTGACGTCTCGTTGGGAAAGATTCTGATTCAGATAGAATTCCATCGGTGATTCTTGTCGAAGGATGCGAGACAAGATCCGTCAGATTTCCAACAAACGACGATAAATTTAACGGGCCAATTAGATTTACTATTTTCACCTCTGAAATGCAACACAGAGGACTGATTCAGAGTGAAAGCGACAACGTCACACTTCGCGACTCACGTTTGTTTTAGAAACCACCTTATCAGGGTCGTGATAATTAAAGCGAATAGAACGGTAATCCACTTCCGTTTATATCCTCTGATCCAGTGTTTCCCAACCATTTTCAAGTACCAATTAAATAATCAGCAACATCCATTATCGTATTTGCATAAATATTTTTTATAACATTGGAATTAAAAATAATCTAATTGCCATGTAAATATACTGATATATACACATTTAAAATACTGCGCGATAAAGCATGTAGGTAATTAAATGACCACTACAAGTAGTTGAAGCTACAATCTATTAGACAAGTTTTGTCCATTCCTTTGTGGGCCCGACTGGGAATCCCGGTTTCTATCAGTAACTAGAAAATAAATCTATCTTATCATCTACTCCTTTTTCGTTATTTCGAGAGTTTGATATTTAACATTCAAACATTGCCGATCATCATAGCTGAGTCGCTTTAAGTAATGCAATTCCTGTATGACAAGCGAAGCGTAGAAATTATCTACGCGACGAAGAAGTAGATTAACATTTAATTAACGTAACATCCTGTGAAGTGTATCACGAAGAAGCAGGTTAAGACAGTGTAATAAGGAATGACCGGAGGAAGAAATATATACATCACGCTTCACTTTATACAAGTTGATAATTTTAATGCAAACATCGCGTATGGTTTGTAGGATATTCGCACTTCGTCCCGGGCACGTGATCGACCGTAAATCCATTAACATGAGGTGAGAACGTTTTCCATGTTGATTGTCGAGCAAACACGATATTGTAGCGCTTCCCGTTTTACCCATATAGCAGCCTTGTCCGCTAATATCACCAGCATTTGAATTCAGTTTTTTTTCTACTGTTATCCCAATCGAAATCCGTGACATTCTAATTAAACGCGTCACGTGATAGGATGCACCGGGCTATAATTTATCGATTGCCTGTTTTGTCACAGCATTATACTACATTTCGGTTAAAGATTGAATTAATTAACAAGTAGATTCCGATAAGATCACATTCTAAAAATTTTTAAGATGATATAAAAGAACGACACTTCACCCGCGTTAATCTCGATAATTTCCTTTGACAGAGGTTTAAGGATGTATTGGCTATACAGCCAATTCCAAAAGTTTATGTACCTTAGAAAAACGCATTTCCTATAATTAAAAAGNGATTTCTTTTTAAAAAATGCGTGTCTAAAGTGCATAAACTTTTGGGATTGACTGTATAGCCAATACATCCTTAACTTCGTTCCTAATTCCTCATTTCTGCGCGCTTTTTGCGCAACGTTCATTTGTTCAACGTTAATTTTTTTTCAACAGTTCGTCGTTTTATTCCGCTTCGTTTTTGGTTATCTGTTAAGAAAGTAACGAAGGATTGTTTGGACTGTTTAAACTCGAAAATAAAAATTTTATTATTCAAGATGATGAGCGCGGTTATAGATACAAAGGCGAAAGCATGGTCGCCCGCATTTCCCATCAAAACTCCGGACAATATCGTTTCCTCACAGTTCGTGTCGCAGAAAGTGTTCGTTCCGTCTTATGAGAAGTAAGTTATCAAATAAAACCTTTATTCGATTGAACGCGATTAATTTCCTTTCAACAACACATGAATGACTGAAAATCGCAGAGAAAAGCGTCCGTGTATAGAACAATTACTGACGAATGAATATCAACGCATTTGGTGGGAAGAGAAGGAAATATGGGATAAGAGATACAGCAGGAAGACGGCAACCAAAAAATTATTGTTACGGGGGGTAAGAAAATAGCATAAAACGCATTTCAACATTTGTTGTACAGGATTTTCGGCTACTGATGTCGAAAATTTTAAGAAGTAATTCTAGACGTCAAAATGAGACGAAAATCAAGAATAAAAAAATTGTGTCCGAGGCTCCATTTTTTCAGTCATAAGCGATTAAAAATTGCGGTATGTAAACCAGTCCACCATCTGTGGTTTTCAAAGGCTACGCGCCTTTAGAAATTCTAAATGGTAATATACATATTTCCGAACGGTTATCGTTTTGGGCACGTTGGATTTTGAGGATTACTGATGGTCAGAGAGTCGTCCATGCTCAACTTAATGGTAACCGCTATGAGATATATTAGCATATAGATTGTTAAACGCACGTTCTATGCCGACAGGGTTAATTCTTAATCGCTTATAAATAAAAAATAAAGCTCCGGAAATAATTTTTTATTCGTGAATACTGAACACCCTGTATATGAAATATTGGTCATGCAATAGTCGTAACTATGTATGTATGTATACCTATAGGCAGTTAAAAGGAAACCGCGCAACGTGCCTTCCTATCCAGCTGAAATACCAAAACCAGATAAAAAATCCAAACCAAAGAAGAAAGCTGAAAAGGCTACGGAGACGGAAGATGCGAAAAAAGTAGAAGCGAAAGCTACTGATTGCGACGAAAAATCAGAAGCAGTTACACAAACTGATGCTATTCAGGTCGACAAAGAGGTGTAAATTTCGTCAGTCATAAATTCAAATATTTTCGTATAACGTGTAAATGGATCAAATGAATCCATTGTGCTTTTATTATGTCAGATGTATGCGAGAAGAATTAATAGAAACCTGTTAGGCGAACAATTATTCCTCCCTGTGACTTTATAAATTACGTAATGAAAATGAAAATTGCCTCAGAGTTATTCGTATGCGTAAACAACGTCATGACCGCGTTTAAATACCTTTAAAGGGTGACAATAGTATTAACAAGAAAGTCACATGACATTTAAAAATCAATGGATCTCCTCTCAAATATTTATCGAATTTTTATCACGTCTTTTTCTTATTTATACAAGAACTTTATAATATTAGTACTCACCCAAGCTGGTCTAGTATGATAAGATTACGTGAGGCGGACACTACATAGGTTTGCAGTTTGTACGAAGACGAAAGTGGAAAATGCTGATGCAACCAGCAATGGTAGTTGAGTATGATTTCCAGCATGTGGAATGAATTTTTCAGACGAAAAAGAATGTCGCTGCGTACACGCGCTTTTCCGCGTAACATCGTAAACTTGTTTTTAAGGATGTAATGAATTGATCTTTCTATTCTCTCGCGGTTCTCACAAAAATGCACGTGTTCGACTCAGACATAATCGCGTTTCGCGTTCCAGAAAATAGTACATACCGTTTAAAGTATAATAACAATTATTCGTTTCTTAATTTTATCACCACGCGTTATTCTGCTTTCTTTTCTTTTCGGGTGTTTTATATCCGGGTGCAAATATTTTGAAAGAAAGGACCAGATATCGTTCAAGGCGAACTGCATAGTTCTGTGTGTCAATTATAACTACCCGATATTTATTATCCATAAAACTAAGATGAAACAATCGACTCTGTTGCATCATAATCGACCAGGATTCGCTTGTGGAAGATTGATTTAAAAAACTAAAGGTGGCAAATAAAGGAACGGACAACAAAAAATGCACATTTATCATCGAATGTACGCTGCTCTTACTTACAGAATAACATGAAGTTAAATAAGGAAGCCGATATACATGAAGCAGGTATTCGATCCTGAGGTAAATAATTATGGATTAAGAGATAAAACTAAGCACAGTTTACGATTCTGCTTAAACATTCGGATCTATCTTTAGTCGTTCCGGCATCGGCGAAAAAACAGTAGAACTACGTACAACTTCATTCGATATCCTTTGGATATAATGTTACATTCGTGCTAGGCCATATTCCGTTTCTACCATTTCGTTGCAAAACTGCTTAGGTGTTTCGTTACGCTACGGCTGCCGCATTAAATAACAACCATCGACAACAATTTCCTATAAATTCTTCGCAGATGTGAATGAAAATGAAAAAATGAAAATGTATGACCACATATTTACATTATTAGACATATTCCACGCAACCCTGATAATACCTACGTCGTCGGTATGCGACTTTTCTAATTAAAATTTATATTCTGGATATAGGAAACAATTACCATTAATTGAAGCATATATTTATTAAAGTTACTTTAAATATATTATGCGTACATGGATACATGTGCATGCATACGCATGTGATATTTTTTAGCGAATCATAAAATCCTTTTCTAAAATTGCATTCGTCTTCCGGTTTTTCTTGAGGAATTTGTAACAGAGCACAAGCGCCTTCTTATACCGGAAACAGGGAGTTAGATATTTAAAAATCACAAACAATTTGCATTATGCTTACGCAAAAAGAGTTCGAATTGCGTTCGATCATAATCTATCCTTGAAAATAAAATAATTGAATCGAGAACGGAATATATTGCATATATAATTTCTAATAAAACAATTGAGTTTATATTCTTTCTAGCAGGAGATTGGTGCATAATGCGCAATGCGTGAGACGGTGTCACCACCTAACTGCGAGTAGCTGCGTAACAGTTCGGTAGACACCACCATTTTAGCTTGCTCGAAAACGGGAATAGTCGTTATATCTAACGTGTGATTGTTCGATACAATTTCGGACGGGAATGTTTTAAAAATACGTTTATTCTCTCAGTTAGACTTAAAGCTACGTGGTAATGCAAAAAGTGTTTAAGGCAGTGAAACGTACGAGTGTACAAATTGTCTAAGCAATTCTGATTTTGTTGTTCGGTATGTCAGAAGGCGAGGCTACAGCGTCGCAGAAGAAACAGCAGCCATTTCAGCAACAGCCACAACTTGGAGTAGGCTCAATGGCGAATATGGCATGGCAATATCCCTCGCCAAATAATATCCACAACATGTTTCCCCCGTATTCAGGGTAATTATGCCTTTAAACCTCGTTCGAATGATTGTTCCCCAAATAGATAATGAGTCATCGGGCTCGTTTCAATCGGAAGGGTCGCATCGACGTAATGTCGGACGACTGCGTAACAATTTCCAGCTTTGTTCTTAGCTTTCGACATTTGTTCTAAGATTTAAATAAACGATAATGTTAAATACAGGGATAAATATTTATTAATATATCACATAAGAAGTTCCTGTGATATAATAGATCGATGCGTATAAGAAACGTTTATGGCCTAATTTTAAACTACTACATATATACATATACAAAATTTTAATATATGTATATTAATAATAATAATAATATATACGTATAATTATAATGTTCAAGAAATTTAACTGTAATTAATATTGTAACAGCTAAATATATATTGAATATGTGATCTTTGTCTATAGGCAATTGTATGGAACGGGGTATCAAGGTGTACCTCATCAAGGACAAACATTTACCTACTATCATGCAATGATGCCTGGATATGGACAACCTTTCGCTCCACAGCAGATGCAACAGCATCAACAACAACAACAACAGCAGCAACAGCAACAGCAACAACAACAGGGCAATAATCAGGGGAAGCAGATATATCAGCAACCACCAGTACCTGGAGCACCAATGTCTTTGGATGATGATTCTGAACTCCCCCCTTTGCCTCCGGGACCACCACCATCTGTGCAGACGTCTCAACAGAATAACAATCAAGTACAGCCGCCTATGCAGCCTCATCCGGGATACATGTACAATACATTTCCATATGGTGCTTGGAATGGAATGCACAGTGATATGAGTCGTAAGTGGTTATTAAGAGATGTCAATTTTTACTCAGTGTGCATAACAATTATGTTCCTCTTCTACTTTTTTTGTTCCAGAATATAACAACCAGATTCGTTTCACTGTACAAAACAAAAAGAACGGTTTGGCGTTCTCACCATCTGGCAATAGCGGCGCGGCGAAGAAAAAACGTAAGCGGAATAAAAATTTAGCGGCTCAGTTCAACAATAGCTTTCAGGCAAACAATTCAACAACGAATTTCGTGCCGGGTCCCAATCTGAAGACCGAATTACCACCCTTACCTCCTACGCAGTGCGAAGTAGCCGCTCCTCCTCCACCAACTGAAGAATCCCCTACTCCTACTACACCTGCTATTACAACCGCTAATAATACGACTAGTGCTGGTACACCAGCAGTAGGTACTCCCTCCATGGTGACGAATCCCAGCCCAGTTGGTGATTGGCCTGATAGCCTGAAGAACTATGTGAACAGATGTTACGAAAAATGCAAAACTGGTGTGGACAAGGATCAAGTTGAGATAATACTAAAGGGAAAGATCACGCGCGCCGCGAACGACGGTTCGCTTTGGGTGAAAGACTGGGACAAAGAACCTTTGCCCAGCATTCATAGCGAACGTATGACGCTGACGATAAAGCCGCAAAAGCCGGCGTTGAAATTAAATAATTTGCCAAATCCACTGATGAATGCACAGGGAGGCTTGCGCAAGCCAGGTCTCTCTACCTCACTCGGGGCACGGCTTGGCGCGCGTCTCTCTGTGAATCACAAACGGTCAAGGTCGAAGTCGAGGTCGAGGACTAGATCAAGATCAAGATCAAGATCGAAGTCTAGATCGAGGTCGAGGTCGAGATCGAAGTCGAGGTCGCGTTCGGATTCACGTAGTCCACCATCACGAAAATACAGGCGTAGCACGTCTTCGTCGTCGAACGTTAGTGATCGGGAACACGATTATAAATCGCTAAAAACGAAAAAGTCCACAAAAAGCAAACCGAGTCACAGCAGCAAGAAAACAAAGAAGACTAAACAGATGAAATCACATTTCTATTCAGAGTTTGGTTTAGCTACAGGCAACACTGACGAATTAGGATCCAAGGAGAAATTACAGCAACGCGCCGCAAGATTTAATGATACTATTTCTAGGACTGTCAGCAACGGTGTAAAAGATGATTCCACTACAGACTTTGATTTGACGGGACTTCACATCGTCGGAATATGCAAGGATATAGAGAAGCCGTATTTGCGTTTAACGTCTGTAAGATTCACATGCTTCAAAGATCAGATTTATTTCAATTTCATTTTAAACATCTACGTAAAATATGTATTGTTTCTGTATTAATAGGCTCCAGCTCCTTCCGCTGTCCGACCGGTAAGTGTACTCCAAAATTCTTTGGCACATGTCAAGAAACGCTGGGTGGCTGATCAAGACTATAGATACGCTTGCGATCAACTGAAATCCATTCGTCAAGACCTTACCGTCCAAGGTATTCGAGATGCATTTACAGTACACGTGTACGAAACACATGCTCGCGTCGCTCTAGAAAAAGGTGACCACGAAGAATTCAATCAGTGCCAGACACAATTAAGGATGTTGTATCAAGACGTCGGCGGCGAAAATCGGTGCGAGTTCATTGCATATAGGATATTATATTATATCTTTACAAAGAACACTCAAGGTACTTGAACAATACATCGTTTAATAAGCCATAAAATTTAAATAATAATCATCTCACACACATTACTGAAGGCAACAACTATTTTTTTACAGATTTAACAACAATTTTAGCAGCCTTATCGGAAAGAGACAAGAAGGACGAGTGTATAAAACATGCGCTCAAAGTGCGTTCTGCGTGGTGGTTAGGCAATTTCCATGCATTTTTCAAACTGTACACTGCTGCACCCAGAATGGCAGCCTTCTTAATGGACTGGTTTGTTGCACGGGAACGCAAGAATGCATTGAAGACCATGATAAAGTCGTACGTACTAGACTCTTTAGAACTCATTCATTCATATTTGTCAAAATATTCTCAAACTGTATTTAACAGCTTATGGAAGTTAATCACGATAACAGAAAGAAATATAATAAATCGAAAAATAACTAATTTGATATTAACAGGTAAATCTAATTAGTAGAGAGTTCGACAATTTTAAGAACCTGAAATATATTTCCATATCTCAATGGAACTATATTTAATCGTGTTCTTTTTTTTCTTTTCTTTTAAATCCTTAGAGACGAATGCCTTGATGATTTTCTTAGAAAGAGATCAATTTAATTTTTTTTAATAACTGTAATTATACAGATTTCTGTTACAGGACATCGTAGCCGAAAAATGACTAGTTTTATATAGTTAATATATATTATTAAACTGTATTTCTTTATGCATATGTACTTGAATGCACATTGTCTAACGATACATTTCTCTACTGTTTAGCTATCGGCAAAATTTGGCGGTTGATTTCGTCGTAGCAGAATTGGCCTTTGAATCTTTGGACAAGTTTTATGAATTTGTCAATGAATTGGGGTTGGTTTATGCTGATCCTGAACGTCATCTAATCGACTGCAAGACAAGCAGTGGTTCTCTAGGTGCTTGGTAACAAAGCAACGATCGCTCTTTTTTCGTGGAAGATGTACAAAACAGAAACGCCATTATCGTGCACATTCGCGAGCACAAATCTGTGTGTTTATATGCATATGTTTCCCGATTATATATGCATATGTACCGTCTACATACATATGCATATGCATGTGCATATATGTAACTACACACTGACCTGTTACCGATAATTCTTACCATCCCCTACTCATTGCTCTCTTCGTTGGTCGACGCTAACCAGTCGAGCAACAGTTTATAAATGAAAAGTTTTCCCCACGATCATCTGTACATGATACGGGCTTCTCGATCTCGGCCCAGCGCAAACGAAGAAATCCATTTGCCGGGCTGGTACGAATTGTACAAAGGATTCGGGACGATCCATTCTAAAATCGTCCGCAGCTACCTCATACGACTGAACCCCGGTATGAAGCCGAGGCTCGCGATTACGAGGAGGAGAGACAGCAGATCGATTATCTTCAGGAAGCAAAATACTTCTGGTTTGGTCAAAACTTCGATTTCCTTTCATCGCAACCGATCGATCCTCCGCAATTCGTTCTATGTTATGCATTGTACATGTTTTTACTCTCTTGTGTCTGGTGATTCTACGCTTCTTTTTCCAAACATGGTCTATACCGAGAAGAATCGGGATATTTTAAAAATTTGCCACATATTTCACTCTACGCAAGGATCTAAAAAGCTTTATCGTCACTTTTAAAAAACGGGGAACTTCGACATTTCATACATCAACTGTACTGGACAACGTAATCTTGGGCAAAGCACGAAATAGAGTGCGTAATTTCTATGATGGGAAAAAATGGAATCGAAGAACGTGATGATATGAAAAGCTTTTCGGTAAGAATAGTATTGAAGGTTTGAAAGGATGCTGGCATACACAGCGATCTGTGAACGAAGAGGAACAAAGAGAAGCCTTTGGGTAGGCAGCAGTTATCTTCGTGGTGGATAGTAACATCGTGGTTCTGGGCAAGTCATCCGACGTTAATGTTCAAGATTCAGCGATCAATAACTTTTTAACAGGACATATGCAAATTCGTATCCGAATACCATTCTCGCGTGTGAAGAGTGATTATTTTTATCTTTTTAAGTGTTTGCCGTCTGACAATGATATTTTTTTCATTGATAATTTATTATAGATTCTCGGGTGTTGAGAATTCTGTCTTCGCGTTCTACGAAAAACGGGGAGATACAAGATCTTATTTTAGAGAAGGAATAAACATTTCATTGTACGGTCACATACGAATAAGGTGTTGTGCGTAATAAATTATTTAATTTTCGGATAGTGTTCTAGTTATTAGTCTGTATTATAGACCTTAAATAATTAAACTAGAAAAACGTAATATCTTAAATAAATCGTTATATTGCAAATATGAATAAATTCATTTGAATTATGATAGTTGAAACACTTATCTCTGTACAACTTCGTACTTTCTATATATATATAACTTTGTTTACGTATAATATAATTCAGAATGATAAACGAGATAACAAATTAAATATCTGACAACGCAATAATTTTTATTCATCTAAACGAACATCGAAAAAATTTGCGAGTTGGAACATATACATTTACTAAATTTTTTCCAAGTACTCTTATCATTTCTCGGAGAATATGTTTGTGTAAAAATGAGTAAAATTCGATTTCTATATCGTTTTCGAAATTAGAAAGTGCGTATTAACTTGGCATGTCACGGCTCTTTAATTATTAATATTTCCGTTATAAGAATTACATATGTCGTAGAATGTGTTATCGAATAAAATATGTGCTCGGTTTGTCTACCACATATACATTAATGAAACAAATAAAATACTCGCGCTTTGAATTTCAACTAAATTATCACGCAAAATAGATTTATTATGCTATAAACAGAATTCCACACATATTTTATGAATTTAAATAACTATCAAAAAATAAGATTAAAATATTCAGGATGAAATGTGTAAATTCAAATGAATGGCATAGACTTCAACGTATACAATTCTTAACACGAGTATCGTTAACTGAAATAATACAATCATTACTTACAGTACTGAAATAAAAAATGTTAATAGTGAAGTATACTTCGATAAAAAGAAAAGACAGCCGTCGATGTCGCTAGTACGACAATTTATACGGACAAGGACACGAAACTATTGTATTGGGTGATGTTGCGTTTCAAAATATCCGCACACGGACCTAAAACTCGTTCGAATCTCGCCCTGTCTAGTTTTACGCACTTCAAAGGACCTCGTGCCACCACAGTTGCCGCCCTCGGTCTATCGAGCAGCAATGCGATTTCACCTGCAATTCATACAATATTTCCGCTGGTACAACCGTTCTGTTTTCTTCCAACTTCGCCTTCATTCGCTGCTAATTCGATTATTAATTGCAATGTCAAGAACACAAGGGGACCACGTACCGAAATAATCAGATGGTCCTAACCGCCCGACTTCCGTCAATTCTTCACCTTCCGACCGCTGTTGCAAAACGACCGCTGTGCCTTCAACGATTATGTAAAAATCTTCACCGGGTTCGCCCTGTCGAACTATCGTTTCACCGTCATCAAATGCCACCGGCTCTAAAGCATCTGCTACCGTCAGACGTTCCCACTTATCCAAGGATTCTAAAAATAACGAGAATTTTATACTACATAGTAGCATAGATTCTGGCAAGTTTCGTGTTATTTGAAGTAACGCGTCTTACCCAAAATCGAAACTCTGGAGAGAAATTCCTCGTACATCTTTCGTTTTCTTATCGTAGATCCCATTAGAATCCTCCGATAAGAATCTCTGTCGATACCCCATAATTTTACATCTGTCTTCGCTCGAACGGTCGCGGCACGCGGGGTTCCATAGATCAACGCCAACTCGCCGAAGCTTCCGCCTTCCCCTATCGTTGTAACCAGTTCACCGTTTACAAAGATCTCCACCTCTCCTTGGTCGATCACGTAAAAATTGTCGCCTTCGTCGCCTTTTTAACACGCAACAAGTAACGTTAAGTTTAATCAGAGATCTAGGCTTCATGATTTTAAGTTCAAAGTATACTTATTCAACACCTTGGCGAATAATTGCCTCTCCAGGCAGAAACGTGACTGGGAACATAGCGTCGAAAATGTCAGAACGTTCATTTTCGTCGAGATGAGCAAAGAGGACGTTCTTAGCAATGGCCTTGCTTAGTGCGGCCATCGTCTTGTAGTCCTTAGGTACGACCTTTTTGACATAACTTGTCGCGTCCTCCTCGGAGACCGGCTCCGCGGAGATACCACCTCTACGTCGAGGAACTTGAGGACCCTGCTGTCCAGCGGGTATATCCTCGGTGTCTTCCGGACTGGTTGCGATTTGTTGCCTAGCATCGTGAGCCTGCTCCTGAAATAGAAAAAGGAAAAAAATCGTAAATCAAGGAGAATCACTATTATTTGTAAATAAAAGTGCGTCTTGCAAATATTATTTCGTTTGGTATGTTATGCAACACGCAAACATGTCTCAGCTCTTCTAACGAGAAGTAGGTTACCGGAGAAACCATTTTTCTTACACTCAAAGAAAAATTAAAAATGATCGATCATGGGGTTTTAATGTCGCTCGCATATTTTTGCTCTACTTGCCTGTTGCACCATGTCGAAAGCTGATGTTCTTCTAGGTGTTTTGTAATTACTATCCCCGATCCTATAGGCGATCGATCGATGCTTTTTTTTATAAATTTGTTTTTCGCTTTTTAGTTATTTATTATTTATTCGATAATAACACAGTCCTGAAAGAGTAGCGTAAGAAAAAAACAAGCCGCTTTTATAAGTCAATTTTGCTTAGACATGCGCAACAACACTCAATAGGTACTGCGTCCTTCGTTTGATGAAATCGTGCTTCTTTAAATTTCTTAAACACGTATACATGCTGAAAGTTGAGCAACCCAGTAATTTCGAATACTTTTAAAACTCGATCTTTTTACGGAGATCTTTGACTACGTCAAGTTTGCTACTTTTTTGCTTCAGAAGAAATGAAAGACAAAACAGCGTGATAGTACATATAAACAGTACTTTAGCATTTACAGAACTGAAATTTCTTATTTCCCCTTTTCCCTGGCAATTAAGTAAAATATATTAAATTGCCTAAAATCGAGATTTCTAAATATGAACAGCAATAGCATGCTTTCTATTATCTCCATTATCTTCGTTGCTATCGTTTACACCATTTACTATTTTTATTCTATATTTAATGAGCGAATGGCACGAACTACATGATTTTAACTTAGTAAACTTTGAAGTGATATAATTATTTAGACAGTGTGCTGAAAATTATTACACGTTAACGAGTTTTATAAGGCGGTCAATAAGGAAACTCGTGTACTGCGCGGACAAAGAAGTCGACAGACTTTAAATTAAATTTTGAAGGTAGCAAAGGAGGTGTGACAAAAATTCCTCTACTTAAACGGGCGTATAAGCATTGCTCCCTGTCCTTGAAAAGTTGACTGCTTATTGTAAAATTATATAAGCCTTTAGATAAAATATTCTACGGCTTGTGAACGATGAGCATCGATGAAAAGGTAAGCAAATAATGCCATAGGTCACTTGGCGTTTTTCACAGATGAGTGCCCCTTCACAAACACGTAAAATACAAAGTAAGATCATTGAATCCATTACCATTCTTACCGAATTAATTCGATTGTCACATTTTTTATAGAAATATAAGTGTAATAAGCATTAATCGTTATGATTGGCCGTGAGTACAAACAACTGAAAGACTCAATTCACCAATCTAATCTTCCACGAGTGACGTCTGCACATCATGTTCATCTCACAAATGATAATAAACATGTAAATTCAACTCTCGAAGAAGCAGATTGTTTTCAATAAATGATGGAATTACTAAAGCGTAATAAAAAAAGAATACCCCTATGCACATATGTTTGCAAGAACTCTAACCAGATACATGTTTGAATACAAATTGCACTATTTGAAAAATTACGTTTAAGAGAACAGTGTCAAGATTGTAATCGGTCAATGATCTTATCTTAGCACGTTCTAAAACATCATTTGCACGTTTAACAAATGAATAATGAAATTATATCACATGACGAGTACTGTACAAAGATTCACAAACATAGTTTTCGATCATTACTTGTATCTGCGAACAAATATATTCCTTTGAAAAAATGAAATTTCACCGGTTTATCTCGCGACTTACTTTCCCGCAACAATCTAACGGCAGTTTCCACTGCGCATAGTAACGATCATTAAAGCAAAGCGATTTAATTATATTAAGTACCGAAGCGCAGACCTCGGATCAAGGATCGAGAAGCCTAACGCAAGAATATCACGCAAAGAAGACGTAAAACACACAGTCAATGTAACGTACGCATGAATCTTCTACTAAACGATTTTCACGGTCGTACCTCGTCCATTATTTGTCGATATTACTCGGAATTCGGGACACGTACTCCCGTTTTTTTTTTCCACCCGATTTCACGTATATACTCCTTCTCCGTTGACACAAATCTCGCACACCCGAATGTGCTTAATCGGTGTCACGAAAGAGAAAAAAATGTTCCTCGCGATCGTCCACGAGCGAAAATAACGGGCGAACCGCCACGCCGCAACTACGATCGTTCCGCGATCGCGCGCCGCGCGCCGCTTCGGAATTTTCTAAGGTCTCGCCAAATTCGATTAAAACGCGACGCGATCCGTCGACGATGGTCACCCGCACAGATAGCACGCGTAGTGCCAAACGGTAAATAATCTATTCCGCGATAAAACGCGATGCAATTCGTAAATTTATCTTTGCGGTCAAATCGATTGATACTAAACGCTTTAACAGATGAGAACGGATAACAACGTTCGCTTCCGACGTTGCTGGTTTAAAACATGTTGTCGCAAGCGCGGTCCGCGCATTTTCGACGTCGACGCGTTCTCATACGCCGCGCCGCGATCGCGTCGTTGGCTAACGTTGCGTGCCTCGTTATATTTCCAGCATACGCTATATTTAGAACAGCTCCTGTATCCGCACGTAACTACTTACATACATATACATACTTACTCCCTTTCTGTACATGCAGTCTATGTACTTGTATACACTAACACCCACAAATATTCGGCTACTTTCATGTTTTGAATGAAAAAATTCGACAAAACATTTATTCTCAATACGAGATTTTTTTAAATGTCCTGTTTATCGTTTACCAGTTTAAAGTACTTATATCTTAATAGAATTTTCAGGAGTAGATTTCTGTATCTGATTGCAAGCAGTTTAATTTTAGACGGGCTCGGTTATTAAGGATTACTTTATCCTATTTACCGAATTTAATCATTTTCTTCAATAACTATCTGAGTATTTCTGAACGGCGATGTATTATATGAGTGCAGTTGTGGTAATCGGAACCGATGACGTATAATTGATTTCGTTACTCTCCTTTCCAATGCTGTATTTGTGTCACCACAATTCATGGAGAAATGGAAAATGTTATCGATCATCCAGCACGATAAGGTAGGAAAAGGAAAATAGCTGAATGTACCTTACTCACATACACAACATACGAGATACGAAAATCTTAATGTCAAGGATAATGCTGTAGAGCGGCAAAGAAATATATGCATGTTATTCAGTAGTTTCGCACAAGGGATAACAAATGCTTGTTTTTCTTAGAAATCAGAGTAAACTAGTGAAAACATATGATCTACAACAGTAGAGATGGACAAAGTATAAGAAATTGATTAAAAAAACATAATAGAATTAAGATTTTGTACAACTAGTGATATTGAGCGCTATCCTCTTTTCTCCCTCTCTTCGTCATTGACCAGCATCTCCCACTCTCATCCGAAGAAACTCGCAAAATGAGTACATATATATTACGTATTCGAATAAACATATTTGGCGCCAAATACTTAAGTGTTAAGCAGTAAGCATTTAAACGAAATATGTATGTACACAGATTTTAGATAAATCGCATTATTCCATTCATGCCCAATTACACATCATACTTTACGTGTCTTAAATTTATTTTCGAAGATTCACAATGGAAAACTTCCGAATCGCTGCTTGTAGGATTAAAAATACTTCGCAGCCTCAGTATTTGTTACAATAGATATTAAAATTCGGCGTACTTGGTATCGATGGAACGATGGAAGAAAATGTGAAATGCAGTTCAAGGAATATGCAAAAATAATTACGGACATGCAACTAAATAAGATATAATTATTTATACACTTACAATATATTATGGAGCATAGATCTTTACCGATATTTTAAAGTTACTTGTGGTAGTTATTATGTACATATAAATTATAATTCATTTTCTAACGATTAATTTCATGTAAGAAAATATTATCCCGTTAATGTTAGTGAAAGCAGAATACGAAATTCTTTTAATATGTTAATACATCTACGAGATTACATCTATTAACAATCAACGCCTGGATATGGATATAATAATGTAACATAAGTTCACAGTATCATCTTTTATGCATTGCAAGCTAACGTACTTCGACTTATTGAGTGCACTCATTAACATTAACAAGTAAACATATAATTAAGCCTGTGAACATTAATATGTGCATATATGTAACTTAACTGATAATTCCAGTGGTACACTTTCTCGCGCTTATCGTCCAAATACGGACATTCATCTTTACTTTACACACATAAAAGAAAATGTATGATAACGAGCGTAAACTAGCCGCGCCGTTTACGAATAAACGTCAAATGAGCAGGGAACAACGAAAATGAGGTTATTTCAATGGTATATCGTTCGATACATACCCGTTCCAGCTTCTGAAAGTATTCCCTCAAGAAAGATATGGGATTTTCAGGACGTCCCACGCAAAGTTGCACTATACAGTCTTTCAAAACTTGTTGAATATTGTGTCTTTGTACGTATTCCTCGCAGTCTCTCAAACTTTGCTCTTCCTCGAGATTCGCCGCCATATTGATACACAGGTTGACACTTTACTACGAATAACTTTTTAAGAATTTCGTTCTACAATTAAATGTCGCGAACAGGATTTACTTTTTGAGTTGATAGCTCGATTTTTGTACAAATAATATCGACACAAGTCACATAATATTTGTCCATCCTTTTACATTACTCGATGCGTGGTTGATAAGTTCGTACAGCTAGTACCAAAGTGATTTCTGACCCAGTTGGCATGCACACATGCAGAAATTAAATTTTCATTATATAGTTTATCAGTATAAGTGCTATGAATATTTTTCGTCTGCTTAACATTGACTGTAATCGTAATAATAATCAGAAATATCTTGAACTTCAAACTAAGCTTTAGAGAACATAGTGACACATTGATGTATGTAAGATAGAATAGAATAATTTGTATAATATTATTTAAACTTGATTGCAATGCAAATAAATCCTAACTAATGTTCAAATTAAAATCATAGTTAAAACCTCGTTACCTTGCGGCTTATCCCAGAATCTTTGATGTTTTCTGAAACCTGTTCCTCCCACAGCACTATTGCAGTAAAATATTGCTGCTGCAATATTGAGTGTTGTTGGGATACTTTTAATTAGAATACATTTACGGTTACTCAAAATGAGATTTAAATACAAATAACAATCATTTATTACCTGCGCCCAATTGATAAAAGTAAGATTAATTACAAAAACGAAAACAGAAACTTCTCAATATCTTTTATTGACAAAAATCGCTAAAAGCGATACAATATATAATTTAAGGAAATCATAGGATTTATTTAGTATTAGCATAATAATATAGAAGTTTATATAAAAATTATAGAAACGTACAAAGAAAATCGAACTACAGCGATGACTTAAACGCTATTCAAGGATTGAGTGGCTAAAAATTCAAAAGATATTCAAGTTTAGTTTTTTAATATCTAACAATAATATATTTTAAAACATATTGTCAATGGATGGATAGACATTATAACAGATAAACTATATTTTAAAATATAAGATAAGAATTTGCATTTTCTTTTTTTTCTCTTAGAGGTCTGTATTCCTGCAATCCCATATCAGTTCAAAGTCATTTATGTAACAAATTTTCCCTGGTATGTATGAAGAATAAAGAAAAAATGGGATTTCAGAATTAACAGTTTCAAACTTAAATCTTATCGTTTAGAAAATGATGGCCATATTCTTCTATGTATGTACATTGATATTTATACATAACACAAAATAAAATAAAATATTTATCCAAATGTCAATACATTGAAGAATCCACAAACAATATTATAATATTGTGCAAGAAAAAAACTTGATATTAGTAAACATCAATGCTTTAAAAATCTTGTAACAATAAAAAATT